TTTTATAACATTTGAGTCGGAACAAATCGTAAAGTGAAGGGTTAATTGTACTTTACATACGCCCATAATCATCAAAATAATGTAAGCCATATTTTCCTTGTTTTATTTTGATTTAGTTTAGAAGAATCTGATGCGAAATAACTGCTAAAGTTATTTTTTCTTTTTTAATTTTGACTTGAATCACTTTTGTAACGTTTGTGTCGGAACAAATCGTAAGGTAAAGGATTAATTGTACTTTATCATGAATGAGGATGATATTACCTTATTCTGACAGGTGTGGAAAAGGACGCACGCCCCCACATGATTCGCCGCAGTTCTTCACCGGTCATACCACGTTTTCTCAATTCAGTTATGGTGACTTTGCCAACGCGCTGCAAGTCGAAATCATACAATTTAAATAGACACCAGCAAACACTGCTAATCTAAATCTGTCTAAATAAAATAAATAAAAATAATCATCAACATTATTCTATAAAATATAATTATATCCAAAAATGCGAATTCGAATGTTACTGATATAGACAATATCATGAAAATGGCACCGATTCTACGAACAGAATACCGCAACATAATCGATCATTCCAAGAACAAAATACTGCAACTCAGCGATCAATACATTTCGGATAAAAACAGGTACAAACAGATTCCCTCATTTGTTTGTCAGAAGTCAAAAACACCCTAACTTTTACCAATGTGTTCCCACTGTTCTATGTTTTTAACACTAGAACTACCAAGCACTCAAACTGACTTTTCCAAATTTCTTTACGAAATTTATAACTGTGTATTTATTAAGATTTCAATTGGCTTATATTTCAGTGCAGATATCACTAAATCGGATTCTTTAACGATTTCTCAGAGAAGCATTTGCACCTTTCCAATAATTATAAAAGAAGAAATCGGGAACATTCTGACCCATCTGGTAGTTCTAGTGTTAATTTGGACATGCCACTGGTAAAGTATACCGGCAGCTATATTCTAGCTTCATAAGAACTTGGCTGTTTTTATGTACGTCGCTGCTCGGCCGGGCGTAAAAGTTAATGAAAAAAAGTATAGAAATAAAAACTATCACCTTCCAATTGGCCACAGCACCTTTCCGTTGTTTCGCCTTGGTCTTCGACTTGCATTTAATAACTAGAACACCGCGTTGCTCGGAGGCGGGGTTGTTCGGATCATCCCCGGGCCCCAGTTTGATACTGTACTCCTGCAGATAGTTCTGCGCGTCTTTCTGCGACACGGCTCGCTCTAAAGAGACAACAATTTTCGCCCACTGGAAATAGTCGTACGTTCTCATGTGAAACACTGTCAGCGAGAAATCTAACGTAGATCGTTAGGATGTTCGTAATTTTAGATGGAAGTTATCGGGTGAGGAATAAGGATTGAAGAGGTTAGAAATCATTTTTATAATTGTTAGAATAATTGTTTGGAAATGTTGTGGAGAATTAAAGTATAGTCGTGATTGTTGGTATAGTAGCTAGTCAAGGAATTGGTAATATTGGAAGTCGAAATGGTAATTTAATGATAGTCTCGCGTTATGATGTCCGTAATTTTAAATGGAAGTTATTGAGCGAGGAACAGGGATTCAGGAAGTTAGAAAATAATTGTTTGGAAATGTTATATATTGATTTCGATTGGAATTGTTGCGGAGAATTGAAATATAGTCGTGATTGTTGATATAGTCAAGGAATTGGTAATATTGGAATTCGAAATGATAATTTACTGAGATTTACTATTGGGTGAAGAATGGGGATTGAGGAGGTTAAAAAATAATTATTTGGAAATGTTATATATTGGTTTCGATTGGAATTGTGGAGAATTAAAGTATAGTCATGATTGTTGGTGTAGTAGCTAATCAAGGAATTAGTAATATTGGAATTTGCAATGGTAATTTAGTGATAATTCCTTCGTCGCAGTATTAAGAATGAGTAAAGCATTCTTATCGTTTGTTTATTTAAGTAGGGGACTTGGAACCTAATATTGGCGTTGTGATACATGGAAAATATGTTTTGTATTATATGGATGGATATTAGAAATCGCACAAAATGGTAAAACGAAATAAGGAAAGAGGAACTTGTATATTAATAATATTTTACATAATTTTTGAATATTCAATTATTACAAACACATTGCAAAATACGCTTCCCTTATAATATCAAGAAATGTAAATATAAATTAAGCTCGTAATAAGTAATTAAAACCGATTTTATCAAACGGTACACAAAATCGCCGGAGATTTATTCTCGGTGAACACTCGAATACGCTTAACACAAGAAAAATAAAATATCGGTGTACCTAATATTCCATTGAAAATCTCGGACAATATAAATCGTGTCACGAGAGAAGTACAACTGAAAAAAACTGCTTCTGATAAGATAACCAGTTTTCATTGCAGCCTGTGATCTCGTCAATGGTAATGAACGAAGCGTGTCAAGAGTGGACGAGATAGAGTACTATCAAAGGACACGTCAAATGACTGCCAACAGTTCAAAACGGCGTCGAACAACATAAATATCCAGCCGACAGCAGCGAATGCAATTTCAAAATTCCTTTATTTCTCGTGAAACCCTCAGCAATGAATTATCGAGGCTTTCTCGGTGAAAATCAAACAATACGCGTGCAATTTGGCTCAGTACGACACAATACAAGATAAATTATCTCCATTAAAATATTTACCCTGTTCAGAATGGCACGGATAAATCTCTGACGAGCAAAAATGTTTCTTTTAGCTAGTAGGTAATTAGTCTCTCTAAAAAAAAATATGATTATTTTGATCACTGAAACCGTTTTTATATTTACTTCTCAATCGTTGTCAACTATTGAACTCTCGAAAGCAATTTTTTAACCCTTTGCACTCGAAAATGTTTCGCTGGAAATATTCAACATTTTCCGACGAGATATAGATGACATTGTTTGAAACTGATTTAACGATAATTCACAGATAAACTAAGCAGCAGAGCTATTTTAGTGAAATGTTTCACATAACAATACAAAGTTTCGTTTAGAATACTAAATATTCAACTTCATAGTCTTAGTGTATCAAATCATGTGATAACTGAGAGGTACCTCTCGATTGCAAAGGATTAAATTATTAAACGAGATTATTTACATAGATATACAAATTAGTAATCTTTGTCTTTTGCTCGAAATTCTAGTATAAAAATATAATAAGTTCCTACAATAGAACCACTCGCATTTGAATTATATTCAGAAAAACCGATTTGCTTGATTTTAAAAAGTAGAGCATAACTGGAGGGACAGATGCAATAATACCTGAACCACCGTGCCAGTTAAAATGACTGGTTTGAATTTTTCTGTTTCGCAATTATTGATACCCGAGAAACATTGAATATTCGAAATAATTTCGAAAATAAATATTTTCACTTGAACACTATAACGAGTATTCGAAGAAACTGAAAGTAATCTATCATTACAATTTATAGGGATTACATATCAATCGTATTAATGGAAGAAATCTAATATTAAATCATTCGATTGAATTGCATAGCTGTTATTGCATATTGGTCAAGCTGAATGTCACCGCATTAGGTAGTAGTATTTAAGTAGTATAAAGAGTGAATAGAAAAAAATTGAAGAAGTTAACACGTTAACTGCCACGGTGGTCACCGATGACCGGAGCTTTCAAATTACTTGAAAACAATTATAATTTGTCAGACAACTAACGTCGAATGACAATGTTCAATAGTGTAAATAAAGAGAGAATAATGTAACCTAATGATCGCAATACCAAAAAAGAAGTAATCGTTCCTTTCCATCTTTGCTACAAAAGAATAAACGATACATAAAACCCTCAAGTTTTTCGCGGCAGTCAACATGTTAACACTATTCCTACCGCGACCAGTCAAATGACTGTTTTTAAAATTTTTATTAGAATTTCCTATAGACAACGTAGTTGAATCGCCTTTATACTTCACGACTTTTCCTAAAATATACGTATAAAACATTTTTCAATATTCACTCCTTTTTCTTGTTTATTTCCTGAAGAAAATTTGTAGTCTGTCTTACCTACCACGACTGGTCATTCGACCGGTAGAACGATTTATATCTTTTTGTAATAGTATTCTTTCAAAAACTCAATTCCGATACTGTAAAGTCGTTACAAACGAAAGGTAATGCAGTTGTGGTATGATTTTAGCCAGAAAGTGCCTTTCAGGGACTGCTTTACGGTACTTCCAAGTGTTTACAGTTCTCGCTCGCCTATCGGCCTCGGTAAAATCGGTAAAATCTAAATGTCGGAGATGGCCTTTACAGGTATTTTTCTACATCCTAGATTTAGCCGGAATAAATGCATGGATTTTATGTAAAGAATCCACGGGAGAAGAAATTTCGAGGCAGGAATTTTTATTTCAATTGGCAGAAGAACTTGCCATTGAATATCAACAGGAACTAGAGTTAGGCAAAGAAAATCAAGCAACACTCGTCACAAATACAAGTACAGGTTTACGCGAACGGAAATCATGCCAAATAAGATATTGCACAAACAATAAGACTGACAAAACCTGTCTAGAATGTAAAAAGTACGTGTGTGGGAAATGTACGATCGACAAACTTATTTATAAAAAATGAAAACGAATAAAATGTAAATTATATACTTTTAAATAAAAGAAACTATATTTGTATATTGTCAAATTGGCTATTATCTTCATTCTACATTAAAATACATAAGTTGTGCTAAAGATCAATCATTTGACTGGTCGCGGTAGGAATAGGTATACATGGAGTGTCGGTAGGAATAGTGTTAGTGGAACATTGAAATACCTGTTTCACCCACTCTTTCTCGCTCTGCTCGATCACGTGCGCGTAAGTGTTCCCCATCATGGCGATCAACATGTTCAACAGCAGTATCGGGACCAGCACCATGAATATAGCGAACACCGTCTTAGCCAAATTCGGATAGGTCGTGTAGCTTAGCTCGGCGTACTGAAAACGGTAGGGGAGAAAAGATCAGCATGGCCCCGGCGAATGCAATCAATCTAGAAAACAAACTGCGCTCAGTGCAACGGACCGGTAAAAATGAATCGTGTCAGGAGCAAGCGTGCAAACATCGGAGAGCCAACGGATGGATTTTCAACCGAAAATATGCATTTCCAGATATGCGTTCCACTTTTTAATTCGACGCATTTCCCCGGATTGTTATACGGACTGTAAAACCGAGCAATGACCTTTACCGGGCCCAGCATTTCGCGAAACTACTGCACAGCGCGGCGGTGCACGCGTCAACACGCGAACGCTCGCTAAATCTTTAACACGTTCACTGTCACGGCGCGCGGCGCGGTTGAACGCCCGTTTTCTCTGGCGAAACACGATAACTTCGAAAGTATGAGTGATACAATCGAATGATTTAGACGAAAGTTGTGAGGGAAACAGCTAAGCATATGCTGGTGACGTTTTTGTTACATTATGAGGGTGTTGCGAAGTTTTTTCGGTGACAATGGATACTTTACGCTTCGATTCTAACGTTGTGTAAAAAGAGAAACGGGATTTGTCCAAGCAAAATGTTTATTTTTGAAGTGAAAATCATTTGTATAGTAGGGATTGGGTTAGTGACACATGGGTAACCTTCAGTTTTTGTTATTTCAATAGTCGAATTTTGTGATTTTGTTCATAGTATCGCTGAATAGCTGTTTTCTGGGCGAAACTCGATAACTTCGAAAATATGAGTGATACAGAAAGATTTTTCACATAAAAGTTGTAAGGCATAGAGCTGAACATATTGTGGTGATGTTTTTGTTACGTTATGGGGGTGTTGTGAAGTGTTTTCGGTGATAATGGATACTTTACGTTTCGATTCTAGCGTTGTTTACATAGAGAAACGGCATTTGTTCAAGAAAAATGTTTCTTTTGGAAGTGAAAATCATTTTGTGCGGTAACGACTACTTAGCAGCACGTTGGTAACCTTCAGCTTTTGTTATTTCAATAGTTGAATTTTGGGATTTTGCTCATAGTGCAGCGGAATAGCTCTTTTCTGGACAACACTCGATAACTCCAAAAGCACGAGTGATAGAAAAAAATGATTCAGACAAAAGTTGTATAGAAATAAACGTATGGCAGTTATATGTGATTATATATGGAAACAAATGAAACCCGATTTGACTTACGTCGTTTTAGTTGATCTTCATACATTTTAGTAAAAAGTTAATTCTTATTAATTTGTATAGAAAGCTAATTTTCATTAACTTCCATAGAAAGTTAATCTTTACTAATTTCCATAGAATCTTAACTTTCATTAATTCCCATAGGAAGTTACCCCTTAGCAGTCGTCTCTCATGCAAAAACTTCGCCAGTAATTACCTCTAAACCACGTACACCACGCTAGAAACAGTTTCAAAAACCCCAAACTTCGGAACACTATAACAACTCAACCCCCTCGCGATAACAATAAACAAAGTCAACGCAAAACGTCGAATTCCACAGCTACGAATTACTTCAATTCATTCCCCGAAAGATAAATAGAAGTTTCCAGCCATCAACGCTGAAAATAAATCGAGTGCAAAGGGTTAATTTTTATAGCAGAGAAACAAAACGACGAATCGAGGCGAAAGGTCCACGCCGGACAACAGGACAAGCGGTGCGTGATTGAAATTCAAGATTCATGCAGATCCGTGCTCCGGTTCGATCGCACGTGTATGCGAAATCGTCCGACGAGAAGCGGTTTGTTGGAAATTTACACTTTGCCATTACCGAGCGGTTTATTTAACAATTATAACCTGCCCTACAAAACGCTCGCGAATTTATCGTCCGGACGATATTTACGATCGCGACGCGCACGTCGAACGCGTACGTTGGCAGGTTTGCGACGCGTTCGAAATAGTTTTTTCCTCCGTGAAATTGCACGTTCGTGAAATAATATTACGATTTCGGGAGTGTCCTGCACTTACTTGGCGCGCGAGCGACAAGCGGGCCGCTCCTTTTTACAATCTTTTTACCGCGCGAACAAACGGAACGGATATCTGCGTTCCGCGTACACGTTTAGCGAGACTTGGAATTAATTTGGCAGGTTTTTATACTCGTATTGTGAAGTACGACGGCTGGGAACAGTGCGAAAGCATGCGCGCGGGGAATGGATGTGTTTTTGGAGCCTCATGGAATTCAGAGCGTAAAATACGAGCGTTTGCTTTCCCGTCGAAGTGTGCGACTGGCATTCGAAGTGTGCAATGCGAACACGCGGGATTTGTTGGCGGGCAATTGAAAATATTGACCATTTCTGGAAGATGTTGTATCTGGTTTTAGTTAATACCTTGACTGCCACGAGAATTTCGATCGTTCTCTTATAGAAAGATTTATTCCTTTATGATAGAGGAAAATAGTGTTAGAAATAATTATTAATGTTTTGGTATTAGAGTACTCATATTACACTGTTATATACCTTCTGATGTTACTAAATATTTTGATTCAATATCAGTTTTCTTGTTGTAATTGTTTTCAAGCAATTTGGAAGCTCCGGTCACCGGTGACCACCGTGACGGTCAACGTGTTAAGAATGTAAAGAGTGAATGAATATGTTAGATTGAGAGTAAAACTACTGAGCGGTTGGATTGTCTTTGGAATATTGCTAAATCAATTTCTTAAATAATTTCTGAGAAATATCTGTTATATATTTAGTGATTACGGAAGGAAGAAATCGGGAATAGGTCATTTTAATTTGATTGGTAGTTTTAGTGTTAATTGAGATGATGTAATGAGTCGAATATGAACATGTAACGACGAAAATTTCAGCATTAAAATGTAGTGGCCTTTTCAAATGTGCCGCCAGTGAATTTCTGAGACTGCCGTGATTAAAATGAGTCCAAACACGATGGGAATCGGACTAGTTTCATCGACTTAACGTAATTATCAAAATTAAAGCTTCGTTTCCATGAAATCGACTAAACTAGTCCGATTTATGTCGTGTTTGGACTCATTTTAATCAGCAGAATCTCCACATTCCATCAGTACTACAATGAAGAACGTAAGATTAAAATGACTGCAACTGAAATGTTCTTCATCGCATGTTTCTACATCTCTTCAACCTATCTATCTCTTTTCCCCTCGTTATATTTATATTGTGTCCCTCTCTACTAGAATCACATTTAGTTACACTGAGCTCAAAACAGTGAACAGTAAGAATAGATCAGGAATGGTACAATGGAATTAAGCAGAGCAAATTTCAGTGAAATTTAAGCCGAGCAGATTTCTGTGAAATTTAAGCAGAGTAGATTTCTGTGAAATTTAAGCGAGCATCACTGTAAATGCATAGTGTCCAGCAATAGAACGTTGATTTATTAGGTGCTTACGTTATAATCGCCGAGGGTTATCTGGAAAAGTGCCATCCAAGTTGAGTGATAGGAATGATAAAGGGACGATTTCACTCCGGGGAATCCTTTGTACAAAAAGTAAAACGACTGGCAGAATCCGAACAGCACCACCATGTAAATTATCCCGAAGGTCAACATATCCCCGGTTATCATGCTGTAGACCATAGTTATGAATGGACCGGTTAACCGAATAGCGCTGTGAAAACAATCAGATAGAGATAGAACAATGCTGGCCCGATAACAACGCGTTAAAACGCGTCCGCGATCGGTTGACTGTGAATTTACATTTTTATTATCGACAATCGCAGATCTCAGATAAATTAGAATTTTATTTGCTGCGTCGATGGTGTTGGTGGATTAAATATCATACAAACAAATGAAATACAATGGACGTTTTCATTTTATATCACCTGTTGTAGATTACTGTACTGCTGTAAACAAATGAACTTTTTAATAGAAAGGTTACGCAACATTTCGCTCGAGTGATTATCATTGACGATTCGTATCTTTTATTCCCACGATTAAATGTTTGGTCGTTTCAATTGCTTTTATCTGCGAATTCGTTGGCATTGTGGGAAATGTATTTACATTAAACCTTCATCGATTCTCGAATGATTGTCGTGTTAATATTTTGCAAATTACGTTTCATTCGAATTGACTTCCGGTTGGATTAACATTTTTAATTTCCATATTTCAGTAATTAAAAACCTTTTCCATTATAACGTGAAATCTTTTCCGTACAATTGGTTGAAGATAATGAAAAATTAATGTTTACAGTTCACGAGAGCATAATTATTTCATACAATAATTATCGATAATAAGCATTAGAATATTGTATCGAAGAAATTAGTTTGCAGTACACACTTCGTCTATCAAACGTTGCAACTGTAGGTGTGCAAATAATTTCGTGGGTCATTGTACACGTAACAGAATGCGAATGGTAGAGCTTTCATGCGGACGTTTGGTTTTCGTCACTGCGATACCCAGGAAGGCAAAGCGACATACACACTTTAGGGTACCATAAATTAAAGCTTTCGGTACTTCATCGTAGGAAAGCAAACTATTCTGCGACTACGAGGCAGGAAAGCATTCGTTCTTTGTAGTCGTCGACGATGGAGGACATTTTAACGGTAGAATTACCGAGCGGTTCCAGTGATTTATCTGTAATCACTTGAAAAAAAGTATGAGAACAAACATTTCTAAGTTTCAAGAGTTACTAGTTTCCATAATTAACTACTAAACATGAAAACACAGCGAATTCGCAACGAAAACGTTCAGCTTTCAGTTAAATTAGAATGATTCTAGGATCTCACAGAATAGTTTTGAATAAAAACAATTCATTACTTCGATGTAATGTTTATAAAATCGATAGAACGATAACCGAAAACCTGTTTCTATCACTTGTTTCTAAAGTAAAAAGCCGAACAATTTACAAAATCAAAGTAAACAGACGATCGATTCCTCGTAGAGGGAATAGAAATCGAAGAAAAGACGAACATTGAGAAACGTTTAAAAGACGAACAGTTTGCTCGTTTAACTTTATATCAGTTCTCGTATCGTCCGATCAATTAAATGAATGTCTGATGAAGCTCGACGCATTGTTCCCGCCCACTTCACGTTTTCTATAGTAGGGATTGGTTAGTGACACATTGTTAACCATTAGTTTTTGTCATTTCAATAGTCGAATTTTGGGATTTTGTTCATGGTGCGGCCGAATAGCTGTTTTCTGGGCGAAACTCGATAACTTTGAAAGTGTGAGTGGTACAATCAAATGATTTAGACGAAAGTTATAAAGTATAGAGCTGAACATACGTTTGACTAACGCGAGTAACGCACAGCTAGTACTTCGTTTCCAAATAGGAGCACCACGAATGTCTGATGAACCTCGACGCATTGTTCCCGCCCCCTTCACATCGAGTTCCGCGGAGACTTTTGATCTTTGACGACGCGTGGCTCGAACAATGGCGGAACGTTACTGCCACGATGATATCGATGAAGTATCGTGTTCCTTTCAAAGGTACCCGTGCGTCGCGCAATAGATATCGATCCCCGCTGTTTACTGTCAGCCGGATCCCGTATTATGGACGCGTCTAGCGCTCGGCTCGCAGCCTGCCAGCTAATGACTCACAATCACCGTTAGATTCCGCAATTTGCTGGATGATCGCGATGCTATTCATCTTCTTCTTCTTTCATCGGGTCATTCGAACGCGGCTCGAAGCCCATTGGGAAGCGTGAACTTGTTGCGCGTGAATCATTTTCTCAATTAAAGCTTCAAGTGCTCGCCAGAGTTTTTGTCAAACGCCGCGCGACCGATCGAAGTCATTTTCAGATGGACTACTTCGCTTTTAATAACGTTTCGGTAATTTCATTATGCCGGACTCGACGGCGGAACGGAATAAAAAGGAACTCTGTGTCGGCGAATACATGAAATCTGATTCTGTTGCTCATTAATGAAAGGTTTCGGATAACCAAAACGACTATGCAAAAATTTTACTAATTAGAACATTACATTTCTTCGTGCGTACTCGCTCATTATGCTCTCGCGAGTTCTCAGTTTCGCGGGGAGGTAGATCATTTTTCGGGATAAAGAATTTGAGAATCACGAAACCGATGCACGGGTATTGAAAAGGTTTTTATTTGATTATTTGTTGATGATTATTGGAAATCCGGGACAATAGGAGTTGGAAGCATGCAATGTCACGTGGAAATTGGTTTATGTAAATATGAGTTATTTCGAAAATATTTTATGATGATACGGTTTCATTTTGGAAAATACTGTTTCATGTGCTTCGATATATTGTAACTAAAGTTGGATGACGCGAATTTGTTGAATAACAGGACGTTCGATCGATCAACAGTGCTTTAATGAAGTTTGAGATGGATACATTAGAATGTACACATTCTGCTCGCGATTTCATTTAGGTTCATTGTTTTATTTATTGCAAGTCGTGTAGTAAAAATATTGTTTATGCAAATAAAATATTCTCTGTCGCTTGCAATATTGACAGGAGTAATGTTTAATATTTATAACAGCAAATATTGCATGTATAGTGATTGTCTTGTTGCAGACAGAATTGTATTAAGTTAAAAATCTGAACGACCTATGTATATTCCGTTTCATTCATCGCTTCTATGAGTGGAGACTGCGCGTAATACGCATGTTTATTTTATCTTCTCTATTATCGACTCGCGATTCATCGGGACGGCCAAACAAGTTAACAACGAAACGCCGGTAAAGGAGATGCAGTTACTCTCATTATCAACGGTATCATATTGTCCATCGATGCTGCCGTTATTTGTGTCCGTTGATTATTCGATTTACCAACGAAATCGCCGTTTAATGAAATTCAAGCAGAGTTAAATTCAATTCGAATCGCGGACGGCGCGTCGTACGCAAATGAGCTCGGCAGACGTGTAGCGGTTCGGATCGAAGAATTTCGTTATATTTTCATCTATTACTCTTAATCAACGGAAAATATTCTAATCAGCTTCGCGTGGGTTAAGAAACAAAGTGAAAGATAATTGTTTTTTGATTCTATAGAACATTACCCTTCTGTTGTTTAACACTAGAACTACCGAGCATTTAACACGATTAACGCGTCGACTGCCACGAAAACCTTCAGAGTTTTATGTATCGCTTCTTCTTTTGTAGCAGAGATAAAGAGGAACAGTTATATAAATATTAAATATTTCCATTCGACGTTAGTTATCTGATAAATTGTAATTATTGTCAAGTAATTCGGAAGCTCCAGGTCCATCGGTGACCGACGTGGCAGTGAACGTGTTGATATGTATACACGCGTTTCTTGGCATCATTCAATTTGTTGAAACTTAGGAATCACAAGAACAATTTAATTACAACTTAATTGATTATATGAATAAACATAATTTATCAATCCTCGATTGAGCAACGAAATATTCCGTCCACACAGAACTTTTCGGCTAGAAGTATTCGGCACCCAAAGGGTTAACACGATAATAATTATCAATTATTCAGTACACGATTATTAGGTTACACTATGATCCAGTTATTTGCGTTATTAAACATTTTCATTCGACGCCAGGTATCTTACGAATTATAATTGTTTTCGAGTAATTAGAAAGTTACGGCCATCGGTGACTATCGTGGCAGTCAACGTATTAATGGTTCCTATAAAATTCTGAAGAAATTCGGAAACATTTCTGACACATCAGTGCACAGCTGGGAATTTTCTTGAAATTCTTCTAATAATTATTGTTTATTTAATCAAAAAGGTACCATGTAAATGAAGGGGCCATTATAAAACTTTATTATCGAGAGAACCAACAACGAGTTCGAAAATGTTTCGACTCTACGAGTTGAATAATCGGGAAGAGATTATGCTGCATGAAAAAGCTAGATCGAGAACGTAGAGCGACGTTTTATCGTATAAGCTTTCATTTCCGAATAAATGAATGCTGAAGATTCGGCGAGGGTGCATACACTTACGCAGGATCGCGAACGCTTGCGTGTATCGATATAACTTTCCAACTCAATTTCCTCGAAAATGGAGTCCCAAATGAAAAAACTTTATTCTTGTTCCTCGACTTATTTTTTCCACGTTGTTTCACCTTCTTCCAGCTTGCGATATTAGATATCTCGTAGACACAACGAATTGTTTATTATCGTTATTCCAGGATTAACCCCTTGACGTACTATATACTTTCGCTACTAAGCTAACGTAACATTTTACTATCGATTTGGAAGAAATGCAAGAAAATTGTCCATTCTACTTGTGGACACTTCATTTGAAGATAATACGTTGATAATAGCAGAATAGCTGTTTCCTTTGATCCGCGGGTAATGAGCAACATTGATTCTTCTTAGATTGCTCTAGAAATCTTCACGAATCCCACTCGTCATTGTATGGTAAGGGGTTAAAAATAATGAGCTAGCGAAAAGCTACGAGTTTATATTTTACAAAACTATTAGCTCAACGCTAAAACTACTAGACGAGTGAAAATCGCCCATTGCTGTTGCAATGATTAAAAAGATAACAGATATGTCTCTGAGAAATGATTAGAGAAATGAATTTAGCAGTACGCAAACTGAACTGTAAATCAATTAAAGATTTAATCTCGGTGTTTCCGTAGAAAAACTTGGAAAACTCAGTTCAGTTATTAATGCGCAGGCGCAATTAAAACTACTAACAACAGCCTTAATATTGAAACTGTTGT